GTAGTCTATATGTTTGTAGGGTCACACACATGGCAGAGCTAACAAAATAGAAGAATCTTTTCTGACGTGCTTATGCCGACAACTGCTTTGATTTCCAAATAAGGTCTCTCTCTCTCTCTCTCTCTCTCTCTCTCTCTCTCTCTCTCTCTCTCACACACACACACACACACACACACACACACACACACACACACACACAGATGAAAACCCTTCTCTAAATTTTGCGTCCCACTTGAGTGTGCGTGTGAATCAATACTGGTGCTGAGCTCGGGTGTATTTCGGTGTTCCTTTGCTAGTTTGCTTGCTGACCGTTCGAACCCACTCCGTCTGGTTTGTTGGATGCCTTGTTCGTTCATAGCGGGAAAGCTCCTTTCCCGTTTTTGCAGAGGTTCTCTCAGGAGGGGTTTTTGAAAATTCCCGACGCAGGACCGAGTATTTCTTATTAATTAGTATTCCCGCTTTTAAACCAACAACAAAGAGAGTTTCTCCATCTCTCCGAGTGAAAGCGGTTGTGTTGTTATTAATGGACTCCCGGATGGAGTGTGAAAGAGGCGCCTTCTGCGTGGAACAGGAGGGAAGGGAAAGTGGCTTCCGAGAGCTTTGCACAATGCGAGGGGTGCAGATGGCGCCGGGTCTTAAGGCTCCGTTTCTATGGTGTCTGGCAAGGAGGGTCCAGGCACCCGGGGGGGCGACTATACCTGTTAATTAGATCCTCGGAGTGGTGCCGGCCGCGGGAGGCACTTGGAGAGGCTCTCCTTGGCGTGCTGCTGACACCGCCCCCCCTCTCCGTCATCGTTAAGGAGGAGAGGGGAAAAGGTCCTGGAGCCGAGCAGAACGCAGCTCTCCCTCCCTTCCTCCCCCCGCTCTCTGTTTCTCTCTCTGTTTCTCTCTCTCGTTTCTCTGCCAAAAGAAGCGTGAGGCTGCCATCAGGAAAGCGGGAAACGCCATGAGAACTCTGCTTAGAGGGGTTGGGTCGGGGCTGGCTGCTGTAAAGCGCAGCGTCTCTCTGCCGAGGCCTGCCCAGGCTCTCTGGAGAGCCGAGAGAGCTCCATTAGAGAGGGAAATAATCGATCAGCAAAGGCAGCCACGACGCCGAAGGTCCGCAGATTCACACAACTCTGTGCCTCTTGTCCCGCTCTCTTTCTCTAATTGGCGTCCGTCGGGAGCTCTGCTTGTTCTGTTTCCCCTTAATTTAGAAGACGCTGAGGACTCCTGTTTCCCAGCTGCCGTGAAACCATTTTTTCAGTCGGCTCTTTGCAGGCGCTATCCAAGGTGCTGAAGGACTCGCCCCATCTGGGTTCAGCACCTTAGGTGAAACTCCTGCAACATGTCAAGTAAAACTCGGCAGGATATAAAACAAACAAACAAACAAACATGTCAACTAAAACTCGGCCTGGATCCACAGCAGTTGGGGAACGGGTGGTCCCCTCCGCCCGTCAGGTTCTGGATACGGACTGTCTGTGCACTAAATAACCACCTACGCCAAACCAAGGCACGGAAAAGCAGTCGTCATATAGGCAGGAAGAAAGATGTGAACGAATGCACACAAATCTCAAGCGCTTACCCAGAGGCTTAATTTTACACTAGCCTACCGTCTTTCTTGGCGAAAGGGTGGGTGCGTGGAATAAACCTGGCAATCATTTCTTCAGTTGGCTGAGCAAAACTCTTGCATTCGGTCTTTGACTTGAAACGAAGGAGAGAGGGACTTTGTTTCCCTGATTCCTTCCTGATTTCTCCTCGCGGAAAGTGCAGCTAAAAAAAAAAAAAAAAAGGGGGGGGGGGGGGAGGGAAGGCGTGTCAAGGGGAAGGAGAAGAAAACGGACTTGGAGATTAAGAACTGCGGTAGAGGCAGGCGGTTAGTTTTCAGGACACAGCCTTAATACCAACGTCGGTCTTCGCAGCTGAACCCGAATCCTACTCAAATTAAAAAAAAATGTCTATCTCCACCTGCACATCGGGATGTGAGTCCACCTATTCTCAGACAAACCTACTTCTGCGTAGATCTGTATCGGGCTAGGTCTTCAGACATCAATCAACGAAGACAAGTGGGGCACCCCAGCAATTGTAGTATGCACTACCTACAGACCAAAATGTTGCAAAGTCAAGGCTGCTGCTCAGCATATAGCGCAGATGGGAGCAATAACCCATTGCATTCGGGAACAGACGTGTATAGGAACTTGTAGCTCGTCTGGATTCACAGAGTTACAGCGGAATACATCGATCTCGCAACGCAAAAGGTAGCGCAGGATAGTTTTCAGTCTTCCTTGCTGTACCATGTGGAGTGCCGCCTCGTCTGTCCTGCGGCTAGTTAAAAGGATAACACTTCAGCCCCATAGTTTCAGTTTAGGTGGATAGAATTCCAGTCATAGTGCTGGAAACACGTAATTGTCAGTGGGGGAAGTAACAACATAAATAATCTGGAAAAGGAAAGGACGGATGCTAGAAAGATGGAAAGGGGGAGCTTTAGGGTCCCAACAGAAAGATTTCCTGAGCGAAGAGGTTAAGATTAGATTTTGCAGCTCTTAAATATGAGAGGTCTCTGGCTAGGGTTGGGAGGGAATAGGCTGCCCTATTCTCAGCCTCAGTCAACAACAAAAATTTACTGGTAGACTTACTGCTGCCGACCTGATTGGTGCTAACAGCTTCCATCATCCCCGATCCTTGGCCATGCTGGCTTGTGGTGACATGGATTCAAGTCCATCAACATCTGGGTGGCCAGAGATCTGGCCCCTGAAAAAACAAATAGGGAATCTACAAGTCTGAATTTCATATGTGCTAAGAGAAAGAAGTGTTTGATATTTTGATTATCGGCACATAGGGCGCCTAGGCTTTCAAACAGTTCTGTCCAATGCCTCTTCTATATTCGAGAATACATGGGGTTGATGAATGGGGAATCGGGTTTCGAAAGCCGGAGGTGGGGGTGGGGAAGAGGGTTTAGGGGCCTTTCTGATCCATCAAGGTCCACCCACCAATCCCGCATGCTGTCACTCCCCTACCAAGAAAGACTTCACCTTCGCATTGGCTCGCCACATCATCATAACAGGTTACAGAGGATGCCCGGGGCACCTGAAAGGCTAACGCATTTGAAACGGTAGGGATTTTCCAGGAGAAGGTCGAACGGGTTAAATGACATAGTGCCAAAACTACATTTATATCCCGCTTGATCTCACTCCTTCCTTGTTTATATTCACAACAGTCCTGTGAGGTAGAGAAGCCGAGAGGTGACTCCTTCGCCAAGGTCATCGAGTGACCTTGATAGCGGAGGTGGGACTTAGATTCAGATCTCTCCCGTCCTGGCAGAGCGACTGCTACATTTGGGCTGGCTTTTCTGTTTCTTGGCACTCATAGGAAGGGAACCACACCTCCTGATACAACTCAGCACCGGCTGAGCATATGCTTCCTAGGCAACAGAACCAGGTTCGATACTCTCCTTCTCCAGTCCAAAGGACCCGGTGGCAGCTGCAGAGACCCAGAGAGGAGACCCCACTGCCTTGGACAGACGAGT